ACCACCCCAGAAATTCTCCAGCGCACAGTGACGGGGCCCTCTCTTGGACGTCCTGGCTTCAAAAATATATTCGATACAAACATGTTATGTAATGTGTGGTATATTTTATATTTAAGTTTTTATTTTAATTTTTAATATTATTGTATCATGTTACGACACGCTCGAATTCTTACGAGTGTGTAATGATACAGTTCTAATGATATCACAAGAAAATGAAGTATTATATCAGAAGTAGCTAAATCTTTGACGAATTACAAAAATTATAAATCCTGAGTGGTTAATAACTCGAAACATTGCGTACGAAAGCAAAGACATGACATAAACAGCACGCGTAGACCTAAGTGAAAAGTTATTTGTTCATAAATTGTTGCGTGGAGACTGACAACAATCGATATATTTAATTAAATAAACAAAATGACGCGGAGCCACAATTTAGTCTGGTTTCTTGGTCCCGTGTCCTCCCCGGGCTTCTTAAATTCCATTACTCACAAAATTCAACTTTATTTTTCAGCTTTTATCCATCTCACTTACCATTTTGTCTCTGTTCGCGCTGGCGGATTGATATTTTGCAGATAGATTTGAGTCCCGTTACGTCACGAGGCTCGAATGAACTTAAGTTCTCGTGCGTTCAGGGTACAATGTCGCGAGTGGAGTCACATCCACCTGTCGTACGCCTGCAGAATCGTATTTAGACCACACGCCACGTCAGTGAGCCGGAGAAGTGGTCGAAGACGCAAGGAGAAGCATCTCTGTGTTTTCTCTGCCAGAGGGATGAAATACCTTAGCTCCCTGCAACGGCATGTCTTCAAATTGCGCAAACGTAGATTTCCAAAATGTTTCCTTCATTCCATGTACATTTCAATAAGCATTACCTGCATAAAACTTATTTCGGAGAAGATTTGAGACTTTTCCTAATGTTACGTAATGTGTTATGTTCTGAGCACTTTCTTGTGATCTGTCATTTACAAATATAAAATTCGTCTTCTCGAATGTCCATAAGAGAAGCACATCTGTGTAACCTAACCTAACCTAACCTCACCTAACCTAACCTCACCTAACCTCACCTAATCTAACCTAACCTAACCAAACCTAACCTAACTTAACCTAACCTAACCTAATCTAATCTAGCCTAACCAAACCAAACCTAACCTAATCTAACCTAACCTAACCTAACCCAACCTAACCTTACCTAACCTAACCTAACCTAACCTAATCTAGCCTAACCAAACCAAAGCTAACCTAATCTAACCTAACCTAACCTAACCTAATCTAATCTAACCTAACCTAACCTAACCTAAACTAACCTAACCTAACCTAACCTAACTTAACCAAACCTAACTTAACCAAACTGAATCCCTCAGTAGTCCTGGTAAACCTGGGACTGACGCTCAGTTTGAGTCGACTTACGTTTTCTTAATAAAAGTTTTTGAGCTCTGGGCAAAACTCATAAAGCTTCCATTCCTTCGTGCGTCCGCCGTTATATTTAGGCGTTTCGGGTTTACTAGCTGAAGGAAGAAGTGATTTTGTTGCCCGGTTATCGTGTTGGGCTAGGACGTAGGTGGTCATAAGATCGGGTCCCACACGGATCACAGAACTTTATCATTATATTATTTGTAACTGTACTATTATAATTATTCCATCCATTCACCACTGTATAGGGTATTTACTTCTATGTGCCTGAGGAAAACCTTGCAGCAGCTATTTCTGAAATACATTTTGTTATTAATGCGTGTTACGTTTATTATATAGTTTTTTAAGGCAGTATTATATATGCTATATATTTCTTATATATTATCTTCGAGTATCCATTGCCAAACTTCGCTCCCACCTCAGAAGTTCGCACTCCCGCTATTCCGTCATGATTCTGTACATTTAACAACTAATACGTCTATGGTTTATCATATTTGCGCAAATTGAGTCTTCAAAGACTTGTAGAATATTTTTGCTCTGATTTTTGAAAATGGAGTTCCTATTGGAGCAAATCTTTCTCGCGAATAAAACTAGCAGTAGTCTCAAAATAATTTTGCTCTATGATTATGTTTATAAACTTCATCTTATACTGGGTTTCTAATTGCCCTCCATCCACAATTGTCCTCCTGTTATGTCAACAACACAATTAGTAACAGATATATTAGTGTAATTTATGTTTCATGCAAATATATCTGAGATATATATTCTATTTCAACCATCCAGACAGTAATTTTGATATTTTATACATGGGTGTTCATTGATGTAGTTTAGAGCTGGGTGTATCACTTGGTTTATTTGTGTTAATTAATTAAAACTTTTAATTATGGTGGTTAATACTGTATATTTATATACTCATTAACATCGTGTATCATTAATTAATGAATTATTTTACTTTAAATGCAGGGACTTTATACAAATTCTTTAAAGCACTGACAGAGTTAGATGAAATTGTCATTTTGTAGAAGGGATTACTGTTTTATGAGTAAGTTGACTTAATATTTTTTTAATCGAATGATACTCGATTCATATCGGAAAATTCTTGTAGCGTGTGGCGGTGAGTCAAGCAGATTCAGCCGGGAGCCTGGAGCACGCGGTGAACGCTTTCTGTAATGTACTGCGTGTTGTTGTTCCATTAATGTATTTCCTTTATTCGATTTTGTGACTTAAAAACTTACTTGTCTTAATTTGGCTTTTAAACATTTTCTTTGTAATAACATTTTGAGAATGCAGTGATATTCCGTATGTGCTGGTAATTTACTTATGGTCGTTTATGGAAAATCTGCACTTTGGTAAAGAGTTATTTCCCAAAAGAAATATTAATAATGACAATATTCATTAAAAGTTTTGTCCCAAACCTTTTTTTTTCTGAGGGCAATACAAAATTCAGCCTCGATCAGGATCCGATGCCACGTGTCCAAGTGCACAGTAGTTCTGTACGCTGATTGGTGTCCTCAGTGGTGTGTTGTTCTGGGTTATGGTAATGATTAAGAACACACAATTCTTAGGACTGTAGGTATGTGTCGTAGGGAGTAATTCTGCTAGTGATCTGCCCGCAACTCCTGTTATATGATTGGAATTATAAGTGTGTAATAATAATAAGTTTTTCGTAAGAAGCCGTGTTTGGCGAGTACCTGTCACCACGGCGTGGAGCGTCTTCAGTTTTCGGAGGTTAGGTACGAATATATTGAATAAGCACTCGCGGACAGCCGACAAGGGATCGTCCTCAAGCTTGGGGGTTGGGCGTGAGGCTAACAATCTTTCACCGTAAGAAATTGTCTTGTTTAGAAATATATAATCAAGCCTCGGAAATGGATGGACTCTTTGGCACCAGGCCTGAGGGGACCCATCAGCTATCGGCATTTGCTGATGATGTTAATTTATTGGGGGACGATATAAATACAATAAAGAGGAACGCAGAAGTTTTACTAGAGGCTGGTAGACAGGTGGGGCTGGAAGTAAATTCAGAAAAAACTAAGTACATGTTGGTATCTCGTCGTCAGAAGACAGGCGGGCAAAATTATCTTAGGGTAGCTAATAAATCCTTTGAAAGGGTTACAAAGTTCAAATATTTGGGAAC